TTATACAATTATGCCAGATTTTGCACTGTATTTTTCAAGCATTATGATTTTCATTGCCTGATAAAAAATAAAGCATTAAATCTTGCACAAATCTTACGAAATCAATTAGGAAATTTTATTTTAGACCATTCAGCAGGTATTAGAAAGCTTAATATTGTTGATTATATAAATTATTATATAGATTATAATTTATATATTAATCATCATAGATTTGATGATTGTTTTCAGAATCTTTATAAAATAGATTGTGATAGTATTGATAGTGGTGAATTTTTTGATAAATTAGCAAATATTTGTAAAAATATTCAATCATTAGCATTATATTGTGAAAGTGATGACAAAAACATATATAATATAGCACAGCTAATTAAAGCACAAGATCAAATTAAATATTTAATTATTAAATCAGAAATTTTACCAGATGAATTAAAAAAAGCAATATTAACACATTCACAATCAATAATTTTTTATGAATCTTATGGCAATGAAAATAATTTTAATAATTTATTATTACCAACTCTCAAAAATTTAAAAACTTTAGAATTAACAATTAATATTAATAGTGAAATGATAAATTGGAAAAAAATTTTATTGCCAAATATTGAATCTGTGAAATTATATTTTAATTTTCTACCATACATATTAAACTTTTCTGATTTTATTAATATCAATGGAAAAAATCTTAAAAATCTGAATGTTGGTGGTGATTATACTGATGGATTCTCAAGAGAACTATTTCAATCAATTGTGCAATATTGTAAAAATTTAGAAGATTTATCTATAATGTATAAGGATGAACTAGACCAGGAATTGATGGGAGTACTTGATAATTGTATTAAATTAAAAAGTATTAGATTTGGTAATTTTCCTGGAAATATATTAGATTTTGACAAAATTATGACAGTATTGAATGAAACATTACCAAAAAATTTAAAGTCAATAACCTTTGCTTGTAAAGTTTATAATATTAGTAACAATTCTTTGGACATTTTAATGAATAATTGGAGAGGATCCAAACCTTTAATGATAAGTTTTGATGAATATAAGAATAAAATTTTGCTAGAAAGTGATGAAAGAAAAATATTAAAAAAATATCAAGATTTAGGGTTTTTAATAATTAATAATATTTAAATTATTTTATTATTATAGTTGTTATCAGTGAATAGTCTGAAAGATTTCAATTTTCTTGATTTTTATTATTGTTTATGTGTTTGTAATTCTTTATTATAACATAATATATTTTATTATTTCATGTCATATATATGATATTATGATGAATTATCTGATGGTCATTTATGATTTACTGTTATTGATGGCAAAGAGCAGTTGGCCAACATTAGCATTAATTTAATATTAAAGATGATTAGTGGCAGGATTAGATCTTTGTCAAATGTAAATTACATTCTTGATGGTTACTAATTAATATTTTCTTATAAAAAGAGCTGGAGCCCCTTTTCATTCTGAATGTATCATTCAACACAATATAAATATTCCAACTTTATGGAAGTATCCGTTTGTTTGTAAATATTAATTAATTGTATATAAGAATTTCTTAACTGGAAATTGCATTGAATTAACTTTTGAACTATTGGAAAAACCACCATTATACAATTATGCCATATATTTTTCAAGTATTGTGATTTTTGATGCTGATAAAAAATAGAGAATTAAGTTTACAAATTTTACAAAATAAATTAGGAAACTTTATTTTGATCATTAGCAGGTATTAGAAAGATTAGTTCTTATTATATAGATTTTAATTTATCATAGATTTGATAATTGTTTTCAGAATCTTTATAAAATAGATTGTAATATTTCTGATAGTGGTGATAAATTAGCAAATATTTGTAAAAATATTCAATTGTTAGCAGTATATGGTGATGATAATAACAAAAGTATATATAATTTAGCACAGCTAATTAAAGTACAAGAGCAAATTAAATATTTAGATATTAAATCAGCAATTTTACTAGATGAATTAAAAAAAGCAATATTAATGCATTCACAATCAATAGATGTTGTGTTGAAGATAGAGATAACTTTAGTAATTTATTATTACCAATTCTTAAAAATTTAAAAGCTTTAACACTTTATATTGATAGCAAAATGATAAATTGGAAAAATATTTCTTTGCCAAACATTGAGTCTGTGAAATTATATATTGGTGGTCAAACATTTCTATCAGACTTGTCTGTTCAATGGAAAAAAACTGAATGCTGGTGGTTATACTGATAAATCCTTGAGAAACTATTACGATCAATTGCACAATATTGTAAAAATCTAAAAACTTTATCTATAATGTATAAGAATGAAATAGACCAGGAATTAATGGAAATACTTAATAATTGTATTAAATTAAAAAGTATTAGACTTGATGAATTTCCTAGAAATATATTATTAGATTGTGATAAAATATTGACAGCATTAAATGAGACATTACCAGGAAATTTAAAGTCAATAACCTTTGCTTGTAAAGTTTATAATATTAGTAACCATTCTTTGGACACTCTAATGAAGAATTGGAGAGGTCCCAAACCTTTAACAATAGGATTTGATAAGTATAATGAATATGAAATTTTGCTAAAAAGTGGAGGAAAAAATATTAAAAAAATATCAAGATTTAGGGTTTTTAATAATCAGTGGAAAATAATTTGAAAGATTAAAATTTTGTGTAATATGTTCAATCATTCTTAAAGTAGCTTGATGAATTAGAAAAATCAGAAAAGTATTTTGAAGAAGCAGATAAAAAACTTTTTAATTATATATAACAACTGTTTATCCAAATACTGTTTATTAAACATTTCAATGGGAATTTTATGTATAAAATCTTTTCTTTCTGGTGATAACATATGACATTTAATGAATAGAGTGGAGATTTTTTTGAAAATAACATAAAAGAAAGAAAGATTGCTGTGATACGGCTCCTTTATAAATGTCGTAGATTTTTATATTTTGTGTAAAATTTTTCTTTTTATATGTTTCCCTAATTTAACAATTTGAAATGTTTAGTTGCACGGGAAAACATTCAAAGACTTGAAACGGCAAATTCAGTTGAGTTACGGTAATAGCGAATCGCAAATTTTCTAAACATTTTGTTGCTCAACTTTAATAAACTGAATTGTTGGGAAGGATGAGATTAAAATCAAAGGGTAATGAGTCATTTCTTTTTTCTTTTTTGCTACGCTGGCTTGCAAATTGATTTGAAATTTGAACAAAAATATCTTCGCCTCTCAAAAATAACAAATGGCCATGGTTATTTTTACATCGCTGTATCATACTAATTTCCATTGCTATCTATTTGGCAACCGAAAAATTTATCTATTTTTGTTCAAAAGTCAGGGTTGAGCGAAGCAAATACTTGTCTGAAAAGAAGTCGTGCTTCGTTTTAAATGTTTTTTTAGATTTTATTTTATTATTATTATCGGTCAATTTCAATTCGATAAACAAACAATATTAATATGTACATTTTTTTTTGATTTTGACAATTTAGGAAATAGTGGATGGGAAAAATTTTTTTTTAATTTTCTTTCGGAGAAAACCATTGATTAAGAGGAGTTTTTTTAATTAAGGAAAAAAAGGCTCGATTGATTTTTTTTTAGTATTAGCGATTAAAATTTGTAAATAACTTTTGATTGTTTGCGTGAAGCTTATTCTTCTATAGCGATAGACTTGAAAAAAAATTCAAATCAATCCAATTGACTTTTAATCTGGGATAAATAAATAAATACGAGGAAAAGATCAGAACAAAAAGATCTTTTTTTTTGATTAGGAACAATCGAAATCCGTAAATAACTTTTGATTCACATGGAAGTTCTTCTTTGCAAAAGATTTTTATTAAATTTATTAAATTCGTGAACAATTTCCCTTTGTGTATGTAATTTTTAAATAAACGAATAAAATAAAGATATTGATATAATAATAATAATAATATGACTGGCTAATGTTGATACTCTAAATGAATATATAAATACCTCGTATTTGAATGTAACGTGTAAAGCCAAATCATACATAGAACGCCATTTCGGCATTACGTGCCTCGACCCTCGAATTCGAGTGCAATGTAAAAAGCAAAACCAATGCACCATTTTTTTGGTCCACGAGGGAGGACAAAGTATTTTAACGAGAAATGTGAGAAGTACAGATATCAAGAATACGATTTTTCATCATTGGAAATTTGTGGATGTTGGTAACCTGTAAGAAACATTAAAGTAAATAATTTAATGGTATTTTTTGATACACATAAAACGACCTCAAATCATTTTTAAAGGATTCCAAATGTGAATTTATATCTTCGATCAAACCGGAATATGGAATTTATAGAGTGAGATTTGCCAAATCATTAGATATGTCTGTCAAAAATGTTGTTAATCATACATGCTATGGCCGTTAAAATGGACTTTTTTAAAAACACAAAGCCAAATATATGTAGAGATATATAAATTCACCTCGTTAAACCATAGCAATAGGTTTTTACTTTTTGATCCATAGACCCGTTAAACCGATTTTTTTTTTAGAATTTTTTGAGGTCACATCTATTTAAATTAACGAATTCTTATTTTAACCAATCTGGTACTGATATTTAGTTGTTGAAGTGCTCGTTAATCCAAAGAAGTGGATGCATAAACGTCTTTGTGGTTGATTATGTACTTGGAACGTTTGATGGTAGGACCTATGAAAAATTTTAAATTTTTTTTTTTGTTAATCAAAAAACTGAACCAAGAATTTTATTTAATAGTGTGTGCAATTGGAGAATCCAAAAATAGGTTAAAATAGCACGACAAACACATTTTATGCTTTTTTTGTAACCAATTAAAAATTTCTTGATAAATTAAAAAAAAAAAAATAATAATATTTAGAAAAAAAATAAAGGGACATCATTTACACAGATAAACAAATAATATACGGGCATTCGCGCGGTGACTTGAATAAACAACTTATCATTTTATATATAATGTAAGCTAGAATTTCTAAACAATTTTTTTTTATAAAATTTTTAAATCATGTTTCCTTGCCCGCGTGACACCATTGTTACTAATAGAAAGTGGTATTCGCCAAATTGGACAAAAAGAGGTGAATTTACATTCTGTGAAGAATGTTATCACCAATTCATCAAAAACACACCTTTCAATACATATATAAGGTATGATGGAGAACTTCCATTTAGCGTTTGTTGTTTTAGACCTAATGTGAAACAAAATTGGTTTTTTGCTATAAGCATGAATAACATAAACATATTTGCACAACACATTGAGCCGCAAAACGCAGAACTTAAAATATTATATAGTAGTCTAACTTATGAATCAGAACGACAACGTATATTAATTACACAAAAAGGTCAGTCTTGTGCGCTTAGTTTATTTGACGGCGATGGATATAACTACCAATACAATGGTGGAATATACGGAAATAGGTACGATGCCCAAGCAGCCCAAATTGATACCGAACTTCGTGACTCTATGAATAAAATGAAGGAAATTAGAGAAAAGATGAATGAGAATTTAAGATGGAAATAAGTAATTTTATTTTTTGTAATTATCATGATATTATGACACAAATTGATTTCCATAGATCATACATTCATTCATTATAGGATATTTCTTTTTTTTTTCTTTTTTTCTTGAATTTATAAACTCTTCTTATTAAAATTAGTAAAATGCTTTGAATTTATTTAGTAATTATAATTAGCGTAAGAAAATAATAGCCTTCTTTTCCTTTTTTTAATATTTTTTTGAATGTGAATTTTATCTACCTGTATTTTGTACTTTTGAATTAAATAAATAATGCATCATTGTTATAGAATTACCCCTATATAAAAAACGTTGAAAAGCCCAAATTGCCAAATAGTTTTAGCTTTGAAAACAGTTTGGGCTAGAAACCTTACTTGATTGTCGGTAAAATGTCCTGTCGGTAAAGTGTCCTGTCGATAAAATGGGTGTCGGTAAAGTGTCTTGTTGGTAAAGTGTCTTGTTGGTAAAGTGTCCTGCCGGTAAATTGGGTGTCGGTAAAGTGACCAGACCCTAATAATTCTACTGAATGAAGAAGGTTTCGAGGAATCTAACAAACAGTTTTACTCAAAATTATTTAATTGGTTTAAAGGCTTGTATTAGTCACGAGTTTTTTGTATTCTTGAAAAAATCAAAGTTTCACGATTTTAACATACGTGTAACATTTCTGCAGAATGAAATGTAAAAAAATTTTTTTTTTTGAAATATAAGCATATTTAAACAACCTTCAACCTTAATTCAAAATAATAATCATTTTCCTGAACAAAAAAAGTTCTTTGTAAAAAAATATATACAACAGAAATTATATTTGAGGATGACGGTTCAATGTTTGGTTCAAGCATTAGTGTAGCAATTGATGTTGGACGTAGCAAACTTTTAATTGTTGGATGCTGATATAATAATAATAATGATTTTGATTTAATTCGTAATCCGTGAAACTGCAAAAATTTGCTGATCATTAATATGTTTTTTAGTAGTTTTGAGAATCTGACATTACCTCACGTGACCAACGTGAGTCAAGAAAATTACATGACCACGATAATTTTTATTTTATTTTAAAAAGAGTAACTATTAAAAACTAAATAGAAATAACATATTTATATTTTTCTTGGATAAAATTAATTCTACACTCATTTTACATCATAAATATTTTTAGTTGCTTGCTTAAACCTTTAAATTTTATATAGTAATTTTAGGCAGGAATCCAGCGATTCCTACATATAAACATAAAATATTTATAAGAAAGTCCCTTTGAAAATCTGTATATTTAAACTTCGAGATTCATATCGTGTGTTAAAAGTAGAATTTTAATTTATATCAACATAAAGGACGGTTACGTTGGGGTGAAAGTTGGAGAATAATGATTTCCTTTTGTCCTGAATTAAGTCAAAAATGTAATGAAGAACCCTCATGATATAATGATTTTTGAACAAAAACCTTGTGAGTGTTCTACCAATAAACTTTTACTTGTTTCTTTAGAACACCTCTTTTAGCAAAGATGATCATAACTAAATCAAGATAAAATCTAACTTTATTACGGTCATATCAAGATTCTATATATACTTTATAAGGAATTTGAGGTCATTTCTCTTTCAATCTCCTTTCCAATTCACTCTATTGTGTTAAGATGACCAATCAGACAAGGTCTTTATTTTATTTTCTCTTGCCCATTTTTTGGTGTGTACTATTGGTGCATTACCATATTGAAATTTAAACCCTCTGCCACGAAAACCACATTTTTATCCAATAATCTTTATGGTTCATCTTCCCCGCCCTGGGCTAAAGAACTCAATCCCTTACTAGAAAATCATCCACGCCATTATACCTAATGTTTGCAATTTTGTAAAGCTTGCCATTTTGTTGCCAAACTCGAATTGGTTCATCACTTCTAAACATTTTGAAACGTGCTCATATATAATTACTTTCCGTTATACTATTGTTGTTCCGTTAATAAGGTCTCAATTGCAGTAATTCTGGAAAAGATTCTATGTTTTTACAAAATCGTTCTTGTTGATATTTCAACATTACCAGCCTTGACAAATTTTTCTAAAGTATATATATATATAATAATAATAATAAATTAAAAAAAATTGCCTTCTATTTATTTTAAAATAATCACAGGTTTTCCCAAACACAAATAAAACCAAACAGCCACATCATTATTATTTTTATTTTGTCAAAAGGATTGTTACTATAAACAACATTGGCTTGTATAATGAACGTTAGATTTTAGCCATTTATTGAAAAGGCATATTTAAAAGCGAAATTGTGCTTATACAATTTTGTAAAAGATCGTCAAAATAAAGTAAATTTGTTCTCAAAAAAAAAAAACGCGTTAATCATATTTTTTTTGGATTAAAAAAATATATAATGACAAAAGGTTCTAAACGTCAAAATTATGGGCCATGTGTTGTATGTGGCCTAATTGACTCAAACGTAAAATATAGAAAATTGAATGTCGAGTCTCTTAAAAAGACAACAAACAGTCCAAAATTTCATCTAGTAACAACAAAACTTGAAGTTGGTCAACAACTTTGTCAAAAAGACTGGAATCAACTGGTAATTTACGATAGAAATGCTTACAGTCCTAAAAAAAAACAAAGCAAAACTCCTGACAAATCATCAAGTGGTGCACACAATAATAATAATAATGAATTTAATAATGCTAGAAATATAATTCGTGATCTTGAACAGAAAATTTCAGAGTTAACAAGAAAATTAGGAAATATGAAAAAATGGTAATAATTATAATGATAATGATGTTGTTGATGATGACGATATCTATTATCTATTATTTCAAGTCATTTATTTATTAATGTCTAATATCAAAAAAATTTTTTTTTATTAAAATGACTAAATATTAGCGATCAATCCAATCAATGAAATGTATCTATCATTTGAAATTTGGAAATTTTCAAAATACCCACCTTCTAACAGCACAATTAAATAAATAATAATTAACAAATACTGCCAAAATTATTTTATTAAATTAAATAAAGAGATTAAATAAATAAATAAATATAAATATATATATTATAAACTTATTGGCAAATCATTGTTCTCAATTTTTTATTAATAAAGTAGAAGTAGTGGCATCTTGATTAGATAATGGTGGTGTTGTAGGCGGCGATTGTTTGTCTTTAAGATAATCTTCGAATGGGTTCTTATCTGCAAAAGGCCTTTTACCCAATAAATTTATCATGTCTTCCCTATTCAATACTTCTTTTGATAATAATAGTTTTGCAACTTTTTCAACATCATTCTTTTTCTCTGTCAACAGTTGGACAGTTCTTTCATATGCCGTTCTCACCAACTTTCTCACCTCTTCATCTATCATTCTAGCTGTTTCTTCCGAATATGGTTTCTGGAATTGTGGTTCGTTATCGCCTGGATTATTAAATGAAAGTGGTCCTATAATAGCATTCATTCCATACATTGACACTTGTGCATAGGCAATCTTTGTAACCTTTTGTAGGTCATCCTGTGCTCCTGTAGTCACTACATTAAAAAATATTTGTTCTGATACACGTCCACCCAATGTCATGCACATACGATCTAATAATTGTGAAGTTGAATAGAGATATTGATCTTTTGGTAGATATTGTGCATACCCCAGTGCTCCTATACCTCTTGGAATTATTGAAACTTTCAATAATGGATCTGCATGCTCTAAAAACCACCCTGCAACTGCATGCCCTGCTTCATGATATGCTACCGTTTTCTTTTCTTCTGGTGATAATACCCTCGATTTCTTCTCCAAACCTGCTATTACTCTTTCAATTGCTTGCTCAAAATGTTCTTCACCCACTGATTCTTTTTGATACCTTGCTGCAATAAGTGCTGCTTCATTAGAAACATTGGCTATATCTGCACCTGAAAATCCTGGCGTCAACGCAGCCAATTTATTTGCCAATCTATCTATATCTTCATTGGTTTTTATAGGTTTCAAATGTACTTTAAATATGGCGGCTCTACCCTTAATATCTGGTTTATCAATTCCAATATGTCTATCAAATCGACCTGGTCTCATTAATGCTGGATCTAATACATCTGGTCTATTTGTACCAGCTAAAACAACTACGTGTTCGCTAGATCCAAACCCATCCATCTCGACTAACAACTGATTCAATGTGCTCTCCCTTTCATCGTTCCCGCCAAATTGCCCAATTTTTCCTCTGGACTTTCCTATCGCATCAATTTCGTCCACAAATATAATACATGGTGCATTCTTTTTTGCGGTAGCAAATAAATCTCTTACTCTGGATGGACCAACCCCAACAAACATCTCTATAAACTCTGACCCCGATACGCTTAGAAATGGCACGCCGGCTTCTCCTGCAGTTGCTTTGGCAAGTAACGTTTTACCTGTGCCAGGTGGTCCACTTAATATCGCACCTTTTGGAATTTTGGCGCCTAGTTTCTCATATGCGGTTGGATCCTTTAAAAATTTAACAAATTCCATAATCTCTTCTTTTGCCTCATCCATACCTGCTACATCTTTGAATTTCACTTTAACGTCTGCCTCTTGATTAAATAGTTTCGCTTTGGATTTACCAATCCCAAAAATTCCTTGTGAGCCTGCTGCTCCACTGCGTCTCGTCAAATAGTATAATGCACCAACCAAGAACAAAGTTGGAGCAAAATGTAATAACGTGTTTAAGATACTAATTTCATCATGATATGCTACTGGTATCCTTTCACTTGACGGAATTTCCAATTCTTTTTGTGCATCCTCTAATTTTCTTTCAAATGCTTCCACTGACCCAATGCTAAAATAATATGTTACGCCTGATAATGAGGGAGAATTTGGATACACTTGTCCTGTTGCATTTGAATGTAAGATTACCTTAACTTTTTTCCTATTTATCACAACCAACTTATCAACTAATCCCTTATTTAAAAATGCAGTTCTAAATTCTTGCCATGTTATCTCGCGTGAATTTTCATTACCAGAAACAACCTTATAAAAAACATAAGCTGCCATTAAAAAAGGAAGTACAGTATTGGCATTTAATTGCATTTGAAATTCTTTTTGTTGAAATGGCGGTTTTCTTTGTGATCTTTTTTCATTTTGTGATCTATTACTTCCATCATTATTATTCTTTTTTCTTGATGAATTTTCTGAACCTTTACCATCTTTACCACCGCCACCTTTAATGTTTGATGACGACGACGATGGTTTATTAAAAAAATTTTCAAATCCTCTTGGAATTTGTTTATTTTCTTGGACCTCGTCTGATTTTTTCTTATCAGGCATTGACACTACATGTATTATTTATATATATGTTAATATTATTTTAATCCATTGTCATTTGCAAAAACAATTAATCAACAATAGACATTCACATTTCACCAGTACCTTTCTTATTTAAATTATTGCTATTGTTGTTGTCATGGTTGTTACTACCATTAGAACTTTTTGGTTCAAGTGGAGGTGGTGATTGTGAAGATATTTGAGTTATTGCAACAGAAATATTATATTTTTTTGTCAAATTATGAAAACCTATCAAAAAAACAACTACTACAATAAGATTTTTTTTTTTTGCTTCTCTTAGGAATTCAAAAAAAAAATTACCTGATCTTTGCGTGAATGCTGCATTTCGATGTGAACGGTTATTAACTATTAAATTATTAATTTGTTTATAATAGATAGTTTTTTGAAAATTAATAAAAACTTTTTTACGTAATAAAGTAGCCATTTATTACAAGAAAAATTTTTTGATAAATAATAAAATTCAATCGGCGCGCAGTATGTTACACATTAAAATACGCATATTAATATTTTTGACGTGTGACTGGAAACTTGGATCAAAAAAAAAAAATGGAATTAGAAAAAAGCGAACGATTTATAATTTTTTATGCTTCGCAGACAGGAAATTCTGAATGGATTGCCAAAAATATTCATAAAGAAGCGTTAGAACATGGTTACTCTAATGAATGCTTTGTATGTGATGATTATGAAAAGGTAATGTAATAAATAAATAATTTTTTTGAAATTTTCAAAATATTTTTAAATTAATGATAACAACTTTTTAGGTAGATTTTACAAAAGAAAAGGTCTTGATTTTCGTTACTGCAAATACTGGTGACGGTGATCCACCTGACAATTCAATAAAATTCTTTCGGTTTTTAAGAAAAACAAAATCTAAAACTTTTTTAAGTCATGCAAAATTTACAATCCTTGGTAATAAGTTGAATCGTTTTCATGCTAGTACGGAATTTTTTATAATTGGCTAAATTATTGATAATTTTATAGGATTGGGAGATACAAATTATTCGAATTTCAATAATACAGCAAAACGTTTAGAAAAGAAATTGTTAGAGATAGGTGCTACTACTTTTTATGAAAAGGGTCTTGCAGATGACGCAACTGGGTAAAAAAAAATCAACCTTAATATAATATACATAAGTATATCAATTTATTAATTCATATTTAAATATTTTGACTTTTTCTTTGATTATAATAATGAAAAAGATTGGAGGCAATTGTTGATCCTTGGATTTCAAATTTGTGGCTAGCTCTACCTAATGTATGTATTCAGAATGATAATTTAAATGATCAATCAAAACAAATTGTTGATTCGATAAAGGAAATTAAAATCGAAGATGATAAAAAAGATACAAATTTGTTGAATGGCAACAAACAGCCAAAGACTGAAAATAATATTAAAAATGATTCTAATGATAACAACCATAATAATGATAACTCACAAAAAATTCAAACAACTAATGGTCTACAAAAAGGATCAAAACTTTTATTAGATTTATCAGATATTGATAAACATGAACAACTTACAGCCTTGCCACGTATTCCTGCCACAATATGTAAAATAATAAAGAAAAAAATAAGACATTTAAATCCTTTAAAAAGTTTACCTTCTTTCATTATTAATAACCTAATTATGTATGCTAAATTAGATACAGTATGTTGTTTGTCACATCCTGATGCTTTAAAAAGGACTTTGCATCTTGAGTTAGATGTTAAAGAATTTAGGGACAAAATAGAGTTTGTTCCTGGAGATTCTTTTGGAATCTACGCACCTAATAGTATCAAGCTTATTAAGGGAATATTGAGTATGCTGGAGATTAATGAACAGGAATTTGATGAAGAAATTTCTGTTGAATCTTTAGAGGAAAAAGGTTAAAATTTGATTTATATCTATATATATATATATATTATGGGGATTCTAAAAAAATTTTTTTTTTAGATCTTCCATCACATCTTAAAAATGCAAATTCTACATCAATTATCGAGTTGCTTTCTTATGGAGTTGATTTATGTTCATCACCACGTAAAGCTTTATTGAGAATGATGGCAGAATATGTTTCGGATGAAAATGAAAAGAAGATTTTACTTTTTTTGTGTAGTAAACAAGGTTTTATTTTTTTTATTTTTTATTTATCAATAATAATAAAACAAATCATTATCCATATTTACATTTATATATTTCTAATATTTATATTTATAGGTCTTCAACAATTCAATTGTTTGCGTGAACAAGCACCAACTTTTCTTGATTTATTAACAACATTTCCATCTTGCAAACCACCATTTGAACGTATTTTGGACATACTACCACCTCATCAACCTCGTTATTATTCAATAACCAATTCACCATTATCAATTTGTGATAAATTACATATTGCATTTAATGTTGCAGAATATGACACACCATCTCCATATAATATGAGAAAATACGGAGTTTGTACTCCTTGGCTTGACAATTTAACAGGTGTAGTTACTGAAATGAACAAGCCAGTTAAATTATCATCTGATATAAGAATTCCTATTTTCATAAAACCAAACACGAATCAATTTGCCGTTCCATCGGACATTTCAAAACCTGTGATTATGATAGGTCCAGGTACTGGTGTGGCACCATTTGTGGGATTTTTGCAACATCGTGAACAAATACTTTCTGTCAATCCGAAGGAAGTAGGGAAAAACAACAATGATATTTTAGTAGGAGATATGTGGTTGTTTTATGGTTGTAGGAATAAAGAAATAGACTTTATTTATCGTAAGGAATTGGAAGGATTTTTAGAACGAGGTATTTTGAAAGAGTTACTTGTCTCTGAAAGTAGAGTAGCTGGAGCTGGTATTGATGGAAAACCCAAGTATGTTCAAGATCTTATTAGAAAGTATGGTAATGACTTGTATGATTTGTTGGATAAAAAAAATGCAATGATATTTATTTGTGGGTATGTATATATCAAAAATATTTTTTATATTGAATTTATTTGTTTGATGTTTGTTTAAGCTAATTATACATTACAATGTGATTGATTATATATAGAGATGCCAAAGGAATGTCAAAAGATGTTAATGATGCATTGGTAGATATTTTAATCAAGCATGGAAAAATGGATCGTCCTGAAGCAATAAAATTATTGCAGAAATGGATGAGTGAGAAGCGTTATTTACGTGATCTGGTAAGATTGTTTGAATTTTGATTTATTTATTTCTAATCTGCTTGAATGATCCTGATTTCTTGTTTCTTTTAGTGGGCATGATCATTAATATATTATAGAAATGAAAAGTTGGCATGTAACTTTTACTTATTATTTTTCCTATTTAAATTCTTGTCTATCTGGAGAATGATTACCTCGTAACTCTGAGAATAGAATGATCATATTTGTATGTTTATATAATAATAAAATAATAATAAATAAAAAAAATTTAATAAAAATAAAATAGCACAAAATTTTAACTCTTCGATTACAGCGAATTCTCATTCCTTATATACATGTTTGATTATATGTATCCTGATTTAGGATAATTATCCTTCTCTGTACATAGGATAATTCTCCTAATCTAAGATATATATCCTGATTCAGGATAATTTTCATTAATTTCTACTAAATAAAGGTCAAATGCGAACGTGTTACTAACTCATATAATTAATTAAATCATTCGGAAAATCAATTCAAATAAATATAGAATATAATAAAATTAAAAATAAATAATAAATAAAATAAATAGTTAAAATAAATAATAGATAACTAAAAATAAGAAATAAATATAAATAAATAATATAAATAATATAAAATAATATAGAAAAGATTACTCCGGATTTTCGGGGTTATTGATCAGCGAATTAAGGTCCAATTCGCATTCCGGTGACACTAGCAGATAGTGGCTCAAGAGCATGGAGCAAATTATCAACACATTCTTGGTGATTGGCATTATGAGTACTGGCAGTATGGCCACTGGTGTATGGGAGAATATTGTATCTTGTGTATACTCCAAAATGTTCAATGAATTTTTCCCAAAAATCTATGCTTCGATGAGAGGGATGGTTTAATGTGTGGAAATAATAGTGATTAACTGCATTTGTTGCTTGCATAACAGCATCTTGATTATCAAGTTTCTCTAAGTGTATTAAAGTTCTGCCATTCAGATCTGTAATACATTCTGGCTTGATAATATAACGAAATTTCACCAACTTATCTAGTACTAGCAATCTTGCAGATTCAATTAAATTTTTTTTTGGTTGAGTATCCATTTTGGCCATCATATCTTCATTATTCTGCAAGTCCAAAGCATGCTTAAGTGTTGACCATTTGGATTTAAGATATCGTCGTGTTTTCTTTCTATTTATCTTTCCATCTTTATCCAAACCCAACCACCAACCAAAAGCAAACCATAAATGCTTATTTGTATCAGCAGACAGTAGTTGATCAATTTCATTATCATTTTTAGGGGTTATGATCTCACTATCAACCAATGTTAAAAAATCTGGAGGTATCTCAAATGATCCTAGAGGATTCATGTTAGTGGATTGAGCTTCTTGAATAAGTGTCTCAATCAATAAATCACGTGGAGAGGTCTTGATTTCTTTGGATGATATTTGGTCTGAGGGACAAAGGGGGATACTTTTCCACTCATTCTCAAGATAATGAACCTTATCATATGTGCTCAACATCCAACTTGCATGTTGGGTTCGATGCTGAATAAAATTCAGGCCAAAGTTAATATATGGCAGATAAAATTGTTATTATTTTTAACTTATTGAATTTTACCTTTAATGGATCAAAGACTATATTACATTTGGTAGGTTGGTTTATTATTGGTGGCACATCTACTTCAAGTTTGCTATGTTCATGTTCCCACTTAAGCCTTTTATTTCTACGCTTGTGAGCTTCTCGTGATGACCTTGCTGGTTTATTAGATGAGTTCATGATTGCTTGCTCTGGCTTACAATAAAGTAATGGTTTGCAATATTTTGTATAAGTTAATTTATAACTGGTATTATAAAAAAATAAATTTAAATTTATAGCTGGTATTATAAAAAAATAAATTCAATTGGATGATGTTTAATAAAAATTATTGTATAAATGAATAAATGAAAAAAATTAAATTGTATTAGTATGTGATACAAATTAATATTAAAAAATTTTAAATTACTGTTTATTAATTATAATTATAATATTAATGTTTTTTTTCATTTCAAATCTGTATTAAATATTTGTACCTGCCATTTGGGAGTTAATATTGATCAATGGATTTAGAATGGTTTGTAAATTTTATTATTCTTGCATACAATTAATATTAATACTACTTAATCATTAATATTTTGTTTAATTAGACGAGAACAGGTACTAATGTTCAAATTTTAAGAATGCATTGCACAATAATGTTATCCTATGTCATTCGTAAAGGTTTGTGAATTTTATTATTCTTGCATACAATTAATATTAATACTACTTAATCATTAATATTTTGTTTAATTAGACAAGAACGGGTACTAATGTTCAAATTTTAAGAATGCATTGCACAATAACGTTATCCTATATCATTCGTAAAGGTTTGTAAATTTTATTATTCTTGCATATAATTAATATTAATACTACTTAATCATTAATATTTTGTTTAATTTGGAGAGAATTTAAGAATGAATTGCACAATAATGTTATCCTATATCATTCGTAAAGGTTTGTAAATTTTATTATTCTTGCATACAATTAATATTAATACTTAATCATTATTAATATTTTGTTTAATTTGGAGAAAATATTGATACCCAAATTTAAGAATGCATTACATTATCAGTCAGTGTGCAAATCCTTTCTCTTTTTTTTAATTAGTGCGTGTAACATTCGCTTGAACACCATAAATTTCTTTTAACACTTATAACACGTAAACTTCTCAATTAATTAAAAAATGATACATACAAAAAAAATTCTTGAGGTTTCAGGAAGTATTTTAGTACCTTTAGTTTACAATGAAGCCTTTTCTTGAGTTCGCAATAAGGGGTCAAAATACACGCAAAAATTTACACAAAAACGTTGATTCTTTTCAATAAGACAACTGTATGCTGATTACAATAGTCAATAAACTAGAGCGAACCTTGTTCCTTGGACTTCATTTAGTATCATAAAGACAACTTACTTAACAGAATTTTCAAAAAATATATATACACGATTTTTAAAATTTGTCTAAAGAAAAACATATTTCGTTACTTTTTATTAGGGCGATTTCGTAATAAATAATTCTTGACTCTATCAGCATCCCACATATTACTTGAATCTGCTTTCATATTTAAAGTAGGTAATATTGTTAAAATTTTTTCTTCTGAAATTTCTTCTCCTTGTTGGATTAATTGAATCAACGGAAGTAATGTATTTTTAGCTTCTAATGTAGTTACACGTCTTGATCTTTTTTTTATAACATTTTCTACTGATTCATGTAGATGAGGTTGGGCTTGTGTTTGTAGATAACTTGATTCAGAAAACGATCTAATAATTTGAACTGGTTGGATTTGTAAAGAATTATCTGAAAATTGAGCAGGTGTCTTCTTTTCAGCTTTTTTATTTTCATTTATGTTCTTCATTGTTGTTTTAGTAATGTTAAGTGCTCTTCTTCCCTTCTTCTCTATTTTCTCAGTTCCAAAGACCTCTTGTCTACAAATAGAATTCATTCTTTCGTGTCCATTTGTATAGCAATCAAAAAGTCATTGCACTCCAATAGGATTCAATGCACAAGGTTTTGTTGTTTTCCATAAATTGCATTCAAGTGCTTTATTATCTGCAACATTAAATGTGTCTAATAAATGATTAACTAAATCCCACATAGTTTCTTTGTGTGTCTTTATTGCTCTGGTTCCATGAGGAGTTGTGGTATCATTCAAATATTCAGAGAAGAGAACACCAATCCTCTCATGTTCGGTTTGTGCAGCACTTATTTGTGATTTCATGTTATCTTCATCAATTACATTTCCATTTATAAAGCCTTTAATAAATTTAACACCTAGAGTTTCAAGTGCCTCATCAAATCCAAAGAAGTGTCCAGCTCTGTCTTCAGATGTTTTTATGGATGCTGCAGCATTTAATTTTTCCTCAAGTTTTGGATATTGGGACAATATGGCAAGATAATGTGCAACAGACTTCATGTAATTCATCTTTCCAGCTGCAGGGAATAAAGGAGAAAAAGCAGTTAAGCAATATTTCTGTAATTTGAAATTTCCACAACGTATTCCAATTCTGTGAGCAATAAAAATTCCTGTCCATTGATAATAGAGAAACCAGACTTTGAGGATCATGTTTTTGTTGAAATCACCATCAAGAATTTGATTTTTGTCCATTTTTTTTTTTTTTAACCAGATATTTATCGAAAGTCCCACTGCAGTCCAAATTAATTCAAGAACCCTTACTGTAGAACGATAGTCAACTACACTTTCCAATTTATCTAAGTATTTTACACCAAGTGTTGATGCAATGTCAAAAATTCCATAGCTTGAGAATATTGTAATTAATACACTACACATATCCTTGGAGGTATGCCATTGTCCTAACAATGGTCTTACATTTTGATGTTCTTTTCGATATTTGACTAATCGTGCAAATATTGATTCATCTGCAACAATATCTATGTAATCTTCTTGATTTATTTCATAATCATTATAATACATATCTACAGATTCAAAGATACCAGCATCTTTATTTGGAGTTCCTCCTGGTTTAAGAATTACAATATTTGGTGGAGAATAATTACACCCATGTTCAACACACTTCATCATTTTTTGATAGATTGTTGAAGCATCAAAATCTTTCTGATATTTAATAACATCATTTTCTATTGTCATCTGTAATGATGTAACCAACAATTTGTCAAAAAGGTTTATAGCACTTTCTGCTACGTTATTCATGCCAAACAGGTCTTTTTCTGAAAAATTTTGGAGTATATCCTCTGGTCCTTCTTGAGTATTAAAAGAAAGAGGTATTTGAAAACACATTCTTAATGTTGCATGAGATGTATTACGAGTAGCATTAAAAATATTATAATAAGTGAAGCTTTTTTCTTTGAAATCAATATTATCAATCATTGACAAATTCCAAATTTTAGGATCATTTTTTTTTAATCTTATTTCTGGTTGAATTTTACTCATTCTTACTATTTCTAATTTTCTCTCATTACCACTAGTGTGAGCCATAATTTGCAAGTTGAGAATAGATCTCTCATTGAACCAAGGAGTCTAGGTCTTCGGGAAAGACTTGCCATTACTTGTGGAAACCATACTTCCATCTTAGGAAATGTTATATGCACAATGATTGAAACGAGAAAGGTTATAATTTTTTTAATGCTCAATATATCTATCTCTTTTGGTGTTTTATTTTTTTGTTGTAATTTAATATTTGATAATTCTAATTTTTTCTTATAAATATCTGTTAGAATTCCATCAAAAAAACAAGTTAAGAAAGGAGGGAGTGCATTATAATATTCATCCAAGGAATCAGGCATTTTTATTTTATTTTTTTGTTCAAGTAACATAGTTCGTGAATTCCATAGAGCTTTTGCCATATTTTGACCAAAAGTTTTGCTTTGTTCATTTAATGAAAAAGAATTGGTATCTTCTAATTTTATTTTGTGCATCTTCAAGAAAACCTTTAGTACGAAAGGACTTGGCACTTTTGTATATAACAGGTCAGATATTGTTGATATTTCTATTACTGCTTTTGAACTTGAATTTTTTGCTTCCATTTCTTGTGTTTCTTTAATTATTTGAAGTGCAGGATTCAAAATATTCGTTAATACCTTTTCTTTATATTCTATATTTTCAGATTTAGCAACTGTTAAAAGCCATTTACCTAGAAGATCAAGGGAAGTGGAATGGTCATTGTTATGTAAATCAAATTTTTCACAATCAAATAGTGGTTTCCCAGATCCCATTTTCACATGTAAATGCCCTCCATGATTTTGATAACATTCACAGCATATATATTGAGCTTTAGCAACTATATCAACTTTTGGTTTGCAAATCACGCCAAAGTTATTTAATGCACGACAGGTTATTTGTCCATTACAAGGAACCTGGACATTTTGATCTAAAATGTTCCAAGAATGTGAACTGCAACTTCCACTACGACAAAAGAAAAAAATATACTTGCTACAGAAGAAGCACCGGCTTTTAATATAGTCATCACCAATTACAGGTATTGTAGTTTTCAATTTATTTTTATGGTATTTTTGATCAACATTGAAATGTTGCATACAGATTCCTAGTTTTTTTCCCTCTTCTTCAGTTTTTTTGACAATTTCCCTATCTAACTGCCACATTCCAATTAGATGATTGAGAGGTCTAATTTGTTGACTACTCCCACACGTCTGAATTTTTCCATCCACCAAATCCACCAATATACATGTTGAATAATCATTATTCTGTTCTTGATTATTATTTACTGTGAATGATTCTAAAGATTGAACTGGTAAGGGATCTTCATCATCACTTGTATCATCATAATACATATCTTGCAAAAAAATATTTTTATATGTTTTTTTAAGGGCTTCACAATCATACTCAAAAGTGATATCATTATCATTTAAAATAATATTATCATTCTCCTCATTTTCTGATTCTAAGTACATGATGTGATTTTAAATTTATTATTATAATAAAAAAGTTATTCTGATATAATGATATGTTTTAATAAAATATTATTTTATTTATTTTAATTATGAATTACAGAAAATTCTCTATTCTAATCCATGCCTTTATAACAATTATCAAATTGTAATTCTATATATATAATGAAAGAATCAAATATATAAAAGGATAATAATCAATTATAAATATTTAATATATTTAATATAACAAGGAAATATAATCAACTATAAATAATTAATCTAACAAGGAAATATAATCAATTATAAATAATTAATCTAACAAGGAAGTATTATAAACAACAAATATTAATAATAATAAAAAATTATAATAATTTATTTACAAACTATTTATAGTTTTAAATATAATTGTAATGTTTAAAATATTTAAAATACTTTGCTAAATTAACAAGTTTACTTGCAAGGCATTGAATCCAGTCTTCGACTTCTACCGTCACACAAGGAAGAAAAAAACTTTGAAGCCTTGATTCTTTTCCGCTACCTTATTAACCTTACTTGAAATTTTTCTACAAAATAAAGAACACGATAAATAAACAACGTGAAGAATTTGGTGACGATTGATGCAAAACAAGGGTATAAAACGGGGGCCTGAAGACATTCAATTCGAGTTTTTATTAGTAAAATTTCAATGCCGATCAGCAAAAATTTCTGGCAAAACGACCTGCCCCTTAATTTTTAGGATTTGAACACTGACTGTTAAACCAAGGTGTATATAGCAGTTGTGTTGAAAAACTTTTTTTGTAAACAAGTTATTGTGTGACAGAAGAAAATTATGACAGAAAATTATACAAAAAACGTTAAGAATTTACCAAAAAAAAATCATTTACAAAAAAATTTTATTCAAGAATGATGTAAAAATGAATACATTTTTATATTTTTTTTCTTTATAAATATAACTTTTGTACCAAAAAAATTCCCTTGAGGGAGGATCAATTATCAATTATTACACAACGCAAAACATCAAAAACCCTTTTTTATTAAAAAAAAAACAGGATAAAAAAGACTCTGTATCAAAATTTCATTCAAAAAAATAAAAAATTCAACCAAAAATGTTAATTGACATTGTACCAGTTTAATTTTGTTGATTTCTTATGTTAATAAAAAATTCGACCAAAAATGTTATTTGACTTTGTACTGGTTTAATTTTGTTGTTTTCTTATGTTAAAAAAATTTATCTATAAATAAGAAAAACAATCATAAAAACTT